CAAGCTTTCGTGTGTCACTGATTTAGGGTTTCTCTTTATTGTCTGTAGCAGCGCGAGAACGAGCGCTTGCTCCAAGAAATTGCGAGAAAGCGTTCTCGTCTCGATGACGACGATGTACTAATATGAATTCCCGGTCTTACTTAGTACTAATATGAATTAGTAAACAACGCCTGGCCCCAACGGGTTTCATGCTTCTTTCTTTCAGTCTCTTGAGAAGCGGTGTTGATGTGTTTGGGCTGCCGATTGGTTTGTCTAGAGAGGAGCTTCTCGTAAGTGAGATCGCTGGCCCTTGTCATGGTAAGTTTTGTTATTTTGTCTTCCTTCCGTGAGAAGGGGAAGGGGAGCGGTGAGGAGGGCCCCTTCACTTTTTGAGTGGTCTTTCGTTCGCAATAAGGTAGCCGTAGGGGAAAGGGACACACACCTATACCTATGGCTGGATGGAATCCTTCTTTTTTTGTGACAAAGACAAGCTGCTCTCCATCTGTTTGCCTCTTCTAAGCACACTGTTCAAGCCGGGCACTTGCCCGAAATGAGCGGGACCGATCAAAGATGAAAAGTGGGATGGATGAAATAAAGGTGCCGGTAAGAAGGAAGAGCGCTTGATTGAAAGGGACAGCTAGCCCCTACTATTATCAAGCTTTGGTGCTTATACTACGGGTGACACTTGAACTGAGTAAATGGCTTCCATCCCTGCTGCTCCAGGTAGTGGATTAACAACAACTAGTCCCATTCCTTATGCTGGTGGGTATACCTGGGGGTCTTTTTTACCCAGAGCTTCACTCTTTTCACAGAGATAGACTGAACGCACTTCCTTCCTTAATAGCTTGGCCTTCAGCCTATTCAGTATACAGGGCTGGAGCGCCTTTCGAACGGTATAAGTTACGACTTCGCTTCCGAAAAGATAGATTTGACTCTGATTTACCAGCATCCACTACCGGAAGGAATTGCCTCACTTACCGCCTGCTCTTATTCCCATCGATATGCCCGGAAACAAGCACTTTCTTTCTCTCATGCCCTTTACCTTAAGCCTGACAAAGAGAGAATGTTTCATTTGCCCGTAAAGACTCTATCTCTACAGCCGCCTTCTCTTTCCTTTTCATTACAAACAAAGCGATCCGCTTTCATGACTAATAAGGCGTAAAAGAAAGGAGTCTCGGTATTCGTTCTGACTTCCGCTCGCAAAGGAACAAGATCTGGATTTGACTAGGGCGAGCGCAGTTTACTAAGCGAGTGGCCCATACCAGTATAGCTGCTTGGGCTTCCATCCCGGGATTGACTTCGTTCACCTACCAACACGACCAGCCGGGCTTCCCTTCCCGCCGATAACTTGATTTCCAGTTTTCCTAGGGTATTGTTAAAAGCTTGGTCCACGGATTAGCAAAGCGGGCCGATGAGATGAATTGGTTCCGGGGTATGCCTGCCGAGGTATGCAGGGCAATAAGGGCAAGCAAGGCTGCGGGAAGAGTTTCAGAACTAGGAAAAACCTGTCCATAAGGCTAGGAAGGCGGGAGCACAAAAGAGGGCCGCCAAACCAATGAAAGTTGAGAAAGATTTGCCATCTTGAAAGGCAGCTAAGAGCGCATCTGGTCTTCCACAACACACTGGATATTCTCATGGACGCCAGCTGGAGAGGCTCTTAATAGTTTGTTCCGAGATGTCAGTCTGCATAGCATCATCTTCATCCCTTTCATCGCACGTAGGCTCAACATCCAAGACAGCGTAACGAGACCCAAACTCTTCTGGTTGGATGAACCAACTTGAGATGTTAAAATATTCCATCGGCATCCCTGGTATAGTGATAGAATAATATTAGGCACATCAAGCCTAACTAGGCTTGCTTCTATCTTTATAGATCGGTGTATGACAAAGATATATATGGTCTAACAGCTCCCTCAAGCTGAAGGGGAGGAACTACACGAAGCTTGGACCGAAGAGGAGCAAACTTAGCAGAAGATAAAGCCTTGGTAAAGACATCTGCCAATTGGTACATGCTGGAAACATAGCATACCCGAACTTCACCACGCGACACCCTCTCACGAACAAAATGGAAATCCATTTCTAAATGCTTAGTGCGAGCATGAAAACCCGGGTTAACAGCAAGGTACGTCGCACTAATTCTCACAAGAAAGAGCTCCAGGGGAAAATAGGGAAATATGAAGATCCCGAAGTAATTGACGAATCAAAATTGTCTCCGCCACTGCAAAGGCTACGGAACGGTATTAAGATTCAGCACTGGACCTCGAAACTCTGCTTCTTAGCACTCCATGATATATGATTGCCACCAAAGAAGACAGCATAACCTGTAGTGACTATCGGGACATCCAGCCCAATCAGCATCTGCATAGGCAATGAGTGAAGGATAAGTAAAAGGTTTAAGAAGACCCAAACTTTGAGATAGCGAAGAATACGTTCTCCCGCCTGGAACACAGTCTTCAGGTGCTCTACATCAAGAAGGAGAAGTGCTCCTTTGCGAAGGCGGCTTAGCTAACCTTGGCCATGTGATCAAGAATGGTACGATCAGGATGGACGAGAAGAAAGTTCAGGCCATCAGAGAGTGGGAGCCTCCTACCAAGGTATCTGAGTGACGGTCATTCCTTGGTTTGGTGAATGACTATCGGCGGTTCATCAAGGGATTTTCTGCAAAAGCAGCGGAACTATTAAAGAATAACAAGTCGTGGGAGTGGACCAAGAGGTGCCAGAATGCTTTCGAGGAGTTGAAGGCAGCTTTTACACAGGAGCCTATTCTAGTCTTGCCAGACTTCGAAAAGGTGCTCGAAGTCCACACAGATGCTTCCGACCTTTCAATAGGAGGTGTGCTTATGCAGGAGGGACATCCCATCGCCTTCGAAAGCCGCAAACTCAATGATACAGAGCGAGGATACAGAGTGCAAGAGAAGGAGATGACAGCCATAGTTCATTGCCTAAGAACACGATCTATTAGATTTAGATCCTTGTATCGAGTAGTTGGATCATAGTCTCTTACCATACATAAAAATGGCTGCATGCGCAGCAGCATCAAGTATTCGAAATCCACATGTGATGTGTGAACAATGAAAGTTGTGTACCATAGTCAGTAGCTAGTTAGATATGGATAAAGGGGAATGGAATATATAAGGTGAATGGTTAAAGAGCCTAATAATTTAGGGTAAAGAGAGAATGGAGCATACCATGGATCTCATATAGGCTTTCTGGCCCTGGCCCGTAAATGGACCTTTATGAGCTTCTATAAGATAAGATTTTAGACCATGACCAATGCCCAGTTGGTCTCCTATACATGTGACCGGCTATCAAGAAAAAAATGGAAATAGCTAAATTCTGGTGTGCAATATCGGTCAGCCAAAGACCCTGGATCTAATCCTACACGAAAAGTCAGAAATTCTGCATCAATTCAAGGTGAAAAATGAGGTAGCTCCCTTGGACTGGGATTTGAAACAAAAGATTCCGAGTCAAAAGAAATTCATGAGGAAGTGGGATCTCTTTAGAATCTACTTCAGCGTTTAGAAATTGGTTCATCCGTAAAGAAAGTATAAAGATACATGTTCGTGAACTCGATTTTTGGCAGAAAATAGCCAGAAATAGGTGTAGAATCAACTCGCAGAAATGCTCGGGAAGGGCTCTTTAGCAGTGCCGGAAGCGACGAGAAAACTGTTTCTCTTCTTAGTAAAGACGAGGGGTTCGCGATTAGCAAGATCGGCTTCGATAGAACTGATCAGGGCTCTGTAGACTTCACTGTACTTTCTCCGGCTAGGAAGCCGCCTTTGGTGTCCATGGATATGGATGTCATTTTACCGATGAAAGCGATTCAAAGCCTGAAAGATGCGCTGTCCTAAGCCGCCTTAAGGGAAGGGAAATTTCAACCTATTAGTCAAATGTGAGAATGAGCGGCCGATCGGATAAGATTCTTTTCCTTTCCTTCCTTAAAAGCCCAGAGAACTCACTTATAGAAGAGCTTAGCTACAAATCTGACTTGAATAAATAAGAAGGGCTCCAACTCTTCTAGCATTTCTTTTCCCGTCCAAGACCACATAAAGAATAATATCAAAAGGAATGGATCCCCCTCCTTCCCTGAGGTGAGAGCTTTCTTTACCGAGAACTAGGCTTTTGCTTCATCAGATGCTTATACCCCTTATGTCACTGAATGAAATTCCTTGCCTTGGGGGATACACCTTCTTTACGAATAATATTCTTCTTTTATTTATTTTTGATAGAGTCTAAGACGGATTTTTTTTAGATGTTTGGTACCAATTGTTCTGATTTAGCACCATCAGCTGTCTCCTCTACAGCACTTGATAAAGGGACATCCGATTTTTCGTCTCAAAAACCAATCCAACGAAAACATCCGACGGGGCGCCTACCGGCTACTCTAGTTTTTCTTTCTTCTAGTTGTAGTGCTAGATTCGTTTCCTATTTACGGATCGAATTCGTATTCCTTTTTCTCTTTCTGATAAGAACCCCCTATGGCTGTTTTTTGGCTATCCTTTTCTTTCGGCCTCCAGTCTGACTATGATAGATAAGGGGGAATCCAATAAAATAATGGAACAGAGGTTGTACCTCTCTTCAACCACTCCTGTCCTGGAGCAAGCTTAGCCAGCCCATCCTTGAGGAGCCCTACAGGTCACTTGAAAGCTGACTACTGGCAGTGTAATTTCATATAACGAAGGCTTTCCATCCATGAATAAAATAACGATTGGGGACTTCTTAAGTGGTACCTTCCCTCTCCGGAACCTTTTTTACCATTTCCTCTCAGACCATGACCGGAGTGCTGATTGCTATTGGCTTCGGCTGGATGTGTTCATCGCCACTGGCATCATGTGGTTTACGTCACTAGATCCTTCTCTTTCTTTGACTTTTGAGTACTTGAACTGGATTTCTTAAAAAGCGCATAAGATGAGTTGACTAGCCTGAAGCCAAGGAAATGTAAATTGGTTACGAAAGCGTTCCCCGCAAGAAAGAAGCGGCTCTTACCCTATCGTCCGTCGCTGGAAACTCTCTCTGGTCAATCAAGCTTTCGACAAGCGACTCTTGGTTGCGGTTATCGCTCCTTCACCTCGTAAACTCGGTAGCTCGAGATACTTCGCTCCTCGCTTTTGTTCAATTATAAATAAATAACAAGCAAGTTTGATGGAGATTTGTAGCATCATTCAAGTAAATACAGATTGAGATCGTAGAAACATGAGCTTGTGATATAGCTACACCTAATTCCGGACCGGTTAATGCAAGAACTATAAATAAAGGACCAAGATCTCCTATGAAATATAAAAGATCATTCATACATAGCATAGTCCAAGCGAACCCACTTAAAATCTTTACTGAACTATGACCGGCCATCATATTAGCAAATAAACGTATTCCTGAGCTTAATGCGCGAAAACAATGAGGGATTAGCTCAAGGAGTACTAAAAAAGGTGCTAACGGCAGTGGGACTCCTGCGGGTAATGAGAAGCTTAAAAAATGAAGCCCATTTCTTTGAAATCCCACTAGAGTAATGCCAATAAAAATGGAAAATGAGAGACCCAAAGTAATGAGAAAATGACTTGTAACTGTGAAGCTATAAGGTATCATACCCTGGGGATTACAAAATAACGAAAAAGTAAAAGTGACCGAGATGCAAGGGAAAAACTTTTGTTTCACATTTCCGGAAAGACCACCTATTTGTTCGTTTACCAGGTTCGGCACGAAATCATAAATAAGCTCTACCAAGGATTGCCAAGCATTTGGTACTGACTTTCCTCCTCCCTTTTTAGTAACAAAATGAACCAGCAGTAAGACCAAACTGAGAGTGAGCAGCATAAACAAAGAGGGATTTGTGAATGAGAAATACAAGTCACCTATCTTCATATCAATCAATGGGATTATCTCAAATTGATCAAGCGGGCTGTGCATCATAGGTGTTGCTGCGTCTTGAAATCCTAATTGCCATGGTTCCGCTGCATCACAAGGAGCAATCGTGAGGAATAGCCATTCTAATTTCATTTGCTTTGCTTCATTTTTGAACTGCTCTGCTCCCCCCAACAAGAGGAAAGACTTAGAAAAAAGAAAGGCGCCTGGTTGTTGACCAAGAAAAGCATTCATCGGAAAGACCCGCTCTAATAGAATTTGAGAAAGACCTAGCCTAGCGAAGATACTTTATCGAATGGCTTGATCGATCGTACTGTACTAAAAAGACCATTTTCCTTTCTCTACGCAATTCCTCGATCCAATCTCGCACGAAGGTGCGTGTGGTTCTGTGGATGAAGCAGACGGCAACATAGAAAGAGCCCAATCGGCAGTTAGGATAGCCTTGACCGCCAAACCAATGGCGAAGGCCAGACCCCCAACCTATTTTACAAAAGAGAAGGGGCCCTGCTAGTGACCAAAATATCTGCCAAAAGAATGAAAGGTCCCCCAGGGTCATCGAAATCCAATAGCAGACCGCCATACAGAAGATCCAGAAGGAAAGTCCCTTCATTCGGACCACTAGAAATCGAACTTGAGTAACCTTATTTCTTAGAATTATATGATATTCTTTAACTTTTTTCCAAATGTAAGATAAATTCAAATGGATTCTCCAGTGGAATGGTTAACGTGATTTTATCAGTAAAAAGATCATGGGCTATATCAGAAGTCAACGGTTCTCTACCATATGCCGTTTGGCAGGTGCGGGTTTTAGGACCCGGTCTCTCAAGATAGAAAGGCGGTTACCCTTCTCGACTAGCTCTGGAAAGAGCGCTATATGTAATTATGTTCTTCAACGTCTTCTGCGAGCAGTCCTAATGTGAAAAAAGGACACTTCCTACTGACGGCACATTTAATCAGCTAAAGCCATTCAGTAGGTTGGTCGGAGAGATGAACGCTTACTCATTTCACCTTAAGTCTGCTACCGATAGGGCTAGGCTTGGATTACCGAGTGCGTTGATTGCGCAGCTCATTGATAATTCCCTGTCGGCCTTTGTATGTAGCGCTTTCAGGTCCTATCCATTCAGGGGTCCTTTCTTTAAGAAGATACCTCAGGTTAAGTCCTTAACTTTAAGAGTAGGACAGCCTTTGTTTGGGTTATTACACCTCTTGGCCTGTCTTCACTCTTACTCACCATTTATTGGTGATGTTTTGTGCAGAGCCCTAGACAGAAGTTTGATAAGTATGCGATCCTGGGGGATGATGTTGTTATATGCGGCATCGAGGTTGCCAAACCTTCCCGTCGATGTGAGCTCTTGGGGAAGATCAGCCTGTTATCCCTCGAGTCACTTTTCTCCGTTGAGCGATGGCCCTTCCACTCGGCTCCGCCTCCCCTCCAAAGGCTGGAAAAAGAAAAGAAGTTAACTGTCCAAAAGAGGCAGACATCTCTTCCGCTTTGACGGGGATATCTAAACAATTTCATTGCCTTTCCTTGTTGGCATAGCTCTAGCTTTACGATTCCATGCAGCCCTTCCCTACGGCTACCTTCTTTAAAACGAAAGACCCCTCCAACTCAACTATAGCCAGTAAGCCTTCCAGCTGCATTAAGGAACTCCAGCGCTGGACTGGGGATTCAAGTAAATCAAGCAAGTCAAAAAAAGAATAATCAAATCAATCAGGTTCACAGTTGAAGTATGTCCTCAAGATGCATCCACTGAGACTATGATTGTAGGATTTTTCAAAGCATTGATTGTGTTCAATCAGCCACTCTCCTTTCTTTGACGGCCGGTGGGGTTGAAATTGAAAGCAAGTCCGGGCACTACCAAGCATTAGCCAAAACAATAGAACTTGACAGAGATTGAGTTGAAACAGCATTTCTTGTCACCATGACCAGCCCTGACTTGACTGGTGGGTGAAGGAGAGAGGGAGTTATTCCTTTCTTCGATCTTTTACCTCGAGCTCTTCTTGCTTGAGTTGAAAGCTGATGAAACTACTACTAACTTCCCTTGAGCCCAGTATTCATTCTTTAAAGCCACAAGCCGGGAACTCCCTTATTGTTCCCACTCCGAAAGCCCTAATTACTTCTTATTCTTGCATTATCTGGTCTTCAATCCCGAACCCTGGAGTGAAATCAGATAGGAAGGAAGAAGTAAAGCGACGAAAAGGTGTGAAGGAAAAATTCATTACCTACTCATCAGTCTTCTCCTTTGAACTCATACGTAAGTAAGCAGGGAAATATCGGATTCATTTCCACGAAAACAAAAGCAAGGCTGGAGTCACTCTAACTCGTACTGGACATTAGGAATCGGATTGGAGCTCCAATCCTTCTCTTTCACGCCACGGGTTAGGTAGGTCTCCCCCTATACTCTAAGGGTTGACTTTGCATGATTACAAATGGCCTATAATCCCGGGATTTCCTAAAACCATAGGTCTAGTTCCGGCTCACTCAAACTTCACTATTGGCTGTAAGAGCTAGCCACAAAAGTCCGAGCATCCGGTAATTAGGAAGCAAAAACAGAAGACCTTGTGATTCAATTGTATTATCAATATCTTAACGTGAACATCATATACATATAGTCTATGATGACTACTAGAAGAAGAGTATCCAAAAAGGGAAATTAAATGACTGGGTCGTAGGGCTTATCGTTTCAAAGTCAATTTCTCTTTCTCCTGAACTAAAAGATGTTCTTGTTGGGAGCATGTACAATTACAGGGTGTAATCCAACCAATCCAAATGCTCGGGAAGGCAGAAAGTCCAGGTAAGGCCTAACTGCTGCTATAGATTTATTATCCTAAAAATAGAATTGACTAGAAAAGCAGATTCTGATGAATATATACTACTAGCTTACTCATCCGAAAGAGAGAAAGGAATAAAGAGGGTGGATGTAATTCAAGGACGTAACATAGAAGAAGTAGGCTGATCCAGAAAAGCATCCTTTTGCCTTTAGTGCTTGGTAGGAGCAGCTTAGCGCATATGCTAGAATTAGAATCACGCGTAATGAAGCGCTTGTCTTACTTATCTAAAACATACAAAAAACCTGCTACAAATGAGCGGCATATAAACGGAACGAGATCCGTCGAAAGACGAGACTCAGATCGGAGATAAAGAGGCCCTTTCTTTATCTACTATTCATTTTTTGATGATTTTTTATATTCCGCAGCCTTTAGCACATAATGGAATTGCTCCTTCTATGCCTCCTCATCTGTCTCGCCTGCCGAATCCTTAGCTTAGCCTGCAGCCTTTATTCCGACAGCAGGGCATTCATTCGTGAAACCCGGTCTTGCATCTGATCTTTCTTCTTCCTTTCCCTAATGCCTAAGCCTAATCATGCTTTTCACATTCCATTCAATGGTTCCTCTACTTCCCCTGCTTCCTTTGCCGCTGCATCTCTTCTCGTAACCGGTGTTCTTGTTACAGTAAGCGCAGCAATTGAATGAGATAATTCGCAGTAATTGATTCACGAAGCCGCTCTTTCAAAGTCACTATATCTATAATAATAGAAGCAAGGCTAGGATGAATGAATTAGCTAACGAATAAAGTCAGGGTTAATAAGGTTTTCCTATTGCCTACTCCGCGCTCTCTTTGACCACGACTCACGGATTAGCTGGGAATCTTCTTTCTTCTTGACAGTTAGCTCTCCATGGCAGTTACTGATTAAATTCTTTCGTATGGGTAGGCTCATGGCGGTAGTAGCCACTCCTCCTACCAAGCGACCTCAGCAGATTCGGTTGTGTGAACTGTTTATTAAGAAGGGAAGGCTTTCATTCACCTTGCTCTGAGAGCTAACTAGTGACTTTCTTACCTTGCTTACCTTTTGGCCCTATAGTTTAGGAGCTATAGAATTGAATTAGTGAATCTTCCCGCTACTCCTTGACCAATTCTGAAATACGAATCCAGCAGCCAACTCGAAGAGGCAGCCTTCCTTCAATTAGTCTTCTTCTTCAGGTATTTCCCGGAATAGACATTGAAGTTGCCCCTGACAATCATCTGAATAAGTCAATTCCGTGATCCTTTCACTAGACACAGCAAGCAAAGAAGAGGCATTCCATTCATAATTCTATGGACGGGTTTTCTTAAAAGAAAGGGCGGAGATGCTAATCAGACTATCAAAGAAGCCTTGACCAGTTCAAAGCGGGTACTTATGGAACAACGTAATGGACCGATCGGGTCAAGTAGTCGAACAAATAGTAGTGGCACGAAGCCCGATTCTCTATTTACGGAACTTGATCTGTGGCTGTCTGCCTTGCCACAGAGAAAAGAAATAAAGGAAGTGGGTGAGTCGAATAATCAGCGCGGGAATCGTCCCTTATCTTTGAAGGTTTTCAACTTGCGGAAATAATCACCTATCCATGGTAACGCTCATGCTTACCGCACACGCATTGGAAAGCACATTCCATTCCTCGTTATTCCTAAAAGAAGAATAGCCGGAGGTGCCTACCGTACCTATTTTACTGTTCCGAGCAAGACTATGTACGCCCGATTGACTGAAGAAGCATGCTCAGCAAACACAGTAGGAAATGAGTGCCCTTTCTTCCTAACATACGTAATAGCCCTATTCACTCTTATTACCTTCAAGGTATTAGTAGCGGGAGGAGGGCTTTAGCGCCATGATACTGATTGAAAGGTTGAATCCTCACTGTATCGCAAGCATCTATCTACGGGTTCTTCACTTCAATCTCTTCGTCATTCGCTGGTCCGACAGCGTACCAAACGTACTATCTAGGTTCCACCTCTCGACAAATCAGCCCAAAAACCACTGAAATTAGGCTTATCAAAGACTGGTTCAGAAAGGAATCTCGAAGCTCGAAGGTGGAAGGGAGAAAGAAACCTTACCTTCAAGATCTTCCCTACCCAACTATTCAGTTTTTTGTCTCGCTCTCGTCGTTTAGGAACTCATTAATCTCATGCTAAAGGCACGTCAGGTTCAAAGGTATCCCCCCTCCCATCAACCCGGGAGAACCAAATCTGTCTGCATTTAGCATTGACTTCACCTTTCAATGGATTGGCTGCAGTAGCGGATTCTTCTTGTAAATTCAAAACCGTTGGAAAGCTAGCGGAAGCGCCCTGCTGGGTAAGGGCTTCTTCTGGTTCCGGTTAGAAGGATGTAATTTCCTTATGCCCGAGAACTTTAAGGAGGAGTTTACCATGAAAAGGGCATTTTCTTGTACAAATCGCCATGTGTTAGGCAAATCACTTT